CCGGCCCGCGGATGGCCTCTCGCCGCCGTGATACCAAAAGATGCGCTTTCTCAACCAAGAAAGTTTCTCTGAAGCTGACACACGGGATGCCTTCTGATACATCAAAATTCACTTTATTGCTGTAGATGCCAAGTTAACTCAAAAAGATATAAATTTAACCTAAACACACGCTCTTTCTATCTTGCGGTTGCAGCCTATGCTGAGTTGTCAAGACTGTATGTTAAGGTTATAACCAAACACCATGAAATAGAGCTTTAGACACAAAATGAATGAACACCTATCATTTTTAAAAGGTGACAAACTCTTGCTACTCAGCACCCAATAACCGACCCTCTGGGCTCCTCTGCGTTTCGTCTGTGGACACAGCCCAGCCGGGGGAGGACCTCCCTCCACGCCTCTGCCTGGATGCTCACATTCACCGTGAATGAAGTGGGTGTTACCATGCCCACCTCCAGAAAGGGAAACCGAGGACTGGCATGTTATGGGACCTGCCTCAGGTCTCCGGGCTACCATCATAGAGGAGCTGGACTTGTTGCCAGTGTCCTGGGGGTGGAGACCACGCTATTTCCACCACACTACCCGGGTCCTCTAACAAATTAAAAAAAAAAAATGTATGACCAATTCATCACGTCCACTCGGTTTTGACCAGCTGTGTGAGAGGAGGAGGGACATGATAAGGATCACCGAGTCTCACGTGTGCATGCCACCACGGCTGTCCTCTTTCTACACATCTGCACGCGTGCACACACACACACACACACACACACACACGTACTCAGCTTCTCCAGCAGCTCCCGGAGGGTCTGCAGCCACAGGTGACACAGCTGCTCGTCCGCACACCAGAAGGTCACCTGTGCACACTTCCAGCGATGGTGTCGTGCTCTCTTCACACAGTGCACTGCACAGACATAAGCATGCTTGTTAGTTCAGGGCTGGCACCCCGTTGACAAACCTCAAGTGACTACACTCCAAAGGCACACTAACTACAGGTTCATGACAAAAAACCTCCCAGGGGCTCTGTTTCCTTCTAATTAGTCAGGAACTTTCAATGTATGTGAGAAAAAACATCCTATTTCTCAGAGCTTTTAAGCCTTTTTAAAAAAATAGAAAAAATAAGAAAAAAGATATCAATAACCGAAACATTAACTAAAAGTAGATCTTGGAAAAAATATTAGGAAAATTCTATAGAAATAAACCAAGCTTGTTATACAAGTGACAAAAAAGTTTCCTTTCTTGTCGCCTGCATGGATTAATGAAGAATTGCGGGAGATGTTTAGGCTGTATTACCTGTAAAAGCATATGGGTTTTCCATTTTCTGCCATTTGCCACTGGCGTGATGTTTCCCTTGAACGTCTGTTTCTTCAACGGTGATGATCTCAGACACAGGCACGGAGCAGGCATCTGTAAACACACCACATGTTCACGTTCAATTCATCAGAATCCACACAGATGAAAGAAGTCCAACTCTAAAAAGCTGAGAACACCCTGCTATAATATTCTCATTAGAAATCCAAAAATAAAAAGGAAGGTGATATGTCATTTTTTAACTCAGAGCTCAATAACTATGGGCAGCTGGACGTTTGCAGATGATGGGGTGTTTTATCCAACACAGTCACCCAATGTAGGCTGCAACACCCCACCCAACTTACACAGCCATTCAAGCAGCAAACGCTGACATTTCTGGCCCAGCCACTATGCTGAATCTGGGGTAACATGTTCAAGACACAGTTTCTGCTCTTAGGACAGTGTCTGGCTCAGAAGAGACACACAACACGACAGAGGGACAACCAGACCCACAGAGTGTGTGAGCGAGAGAGCTGGGGCCCAAGCCAGGTGGGGCGAGGGTGGTGGTGTTGTGAACCTAGGGGACGCCGGCACTGGACAGTCCCTAACACAGAAACCCAGGAAGAGGCAAACACCCCCTGAGCCTGCCTGGGGCATGTTCAGGAGGCAGCTATAATTATAGGACTGCAGATCAAAGAAAGTTCTGGGCCGAGAGCACAGCCATGGAGGCGCCTGCCAGGCTGTAACTGAAGCCAGGGCCTGAAGGAGCTCGCCCAGGAGAGCGCTGAGACAGAAGGCAGCAACCCGCAGCAACTCGTTTGAGGAGGCCATATTCCAAGTGCCTGTTCGCGAATTGCTGCTGGGGATTTACGAAATATTTTTACATAGAAGACATTATAATTGTGGTTAGCTTCCTAGGTTGGCTATAAAGGCTGCAATGTAGCTAAAAATACTATATTCTGCAATAGCTAACTGAAAAAAACATGCTTTGCAACATCTGTAGTAATTTTGCATCAGGCAAAGCTGCCGCCTAGGGAAATCAAGTTCTAGAACCTGGGGAGGCAGGGGCTTCAAAATCCCTGGCAGGCCGACAGCAGGACCTTGTGATTCCGTGGGAAGCAAGCCCCCCAGTGGGGACAGGCTTGTTGGGACGGGGTTAAGGAGGAGGAAGTCAGGCTGGAAGGGCAGGTGGTGGAGCCTGCCCATGGGCACAGGGTGTGGGTGTGGAGGGTGCTCAGGGCCCCCCCCGACTTCCTGTCGTCTCACTGCTGTGCTCATCCACTTCTGTTCGCCCCTCCCTTGAAGGAACCCAATGCTCCAGGCGGCCACCCTGCCCTCACCCCTCGCCCACCCCTCTGCAGGTCAGCGTCGGCATGGGATGGCATCCTGGACACCCACACACCCACGGCCACTCCTGGACGGGGCTCTCCTCGCCTTTCACAGCTCGCCTTCCTCACACCCCCATTTCTTCAGGTGGTGGACCCACCCTCCTTGGAGCCCACCAAGTCCTGCATCGAGGTGACCACGGCACTCCGACCAGGCCGGGCTCACGGCAGGTCAGTGATGCGGCCAGGATGAGTCAGGCACTGACCACCCACTGATGAAACGGTTCATACCGTGACCTTAGACCACTGAGAACAGACCTCAGGCTGCCCCACCGCTCTGGGTAATTGTAGAATGAGGGTCGTCGATAGGAAACAGGTGACAGGACGTCCTATGAGGCCTTAGCCCAACAGTAACATGTGTCTCTCAATATTCAGACACGCGACTGACTGACTTAAGAAACTGTACGCCATATATTACACCACTAAGTAACTGGAAGTTACAAACGACTCACAGGATGGTCCACGAAGGTCCACAAGTTAGTAAGTTCCAGTCTTGCAAAGTCAGTTTGACAGACTCCAGGAACCAGGGAAGGACGAGTGAGCTGTGAAGCCGCGCCCGCCGGCCACACCTGGGGGCCTGAGGTGCCAGGGCCTGACGGGCACGAAGTCGCACATCCCGTGGGCTGTCACTGATGCCCCTGCACACGAGCCCACCGTGGTGTCGCACGTGCAACGGCAACGCCACTCAGGAGGCCCGAGACTCGGGAACGCTGCGTCTCTGACAACAGCGCCAGGAACTGCTGGGGTGGGGAGGGGCGGGTAGTGAAGGAGGTGGGGACGGTCGTGTGGTCAGGACCGTTTCAGAAGCTTCCTTGGGAGAGAGCGGCAGGCGGAGAGGCAGTGAGGTGGAGGGGAGGAGGGACGGAGGGAGGGGACCTGGCACACGGCCTGGGGTGGGGGGCGGCTCCTCGGAAGGGGTCAGGGCAGAGGAGAGACGTGATCTGATTCAATCTGACTCGGTCTGACACTGAGTCACTAGGCATGTGCGGGACAGGACACAAAGACGACTTCCTGGGACGGGTCTCTGCACCTGCTGCTGCGTTTGGTCTGCAGAGAGCTTTGCCTGTTCCCTCAGTGGGAAGAGGGCGCCTCAGCTCACGCCTGCGACACTTCGGCATGTAACCGGGCACTGCTGACCGGAAGAATCAGTGGACGAGGAAGAGTCAGTCTTGCGCACGTGGCTTTACTGAGGGACGTGCAGGATGGAGACACTGGGCACGGCGGGGACACAGGCCGTCCCAGATGAGGATGACTCGGCAGAGCTGGGAAGGGAACTCGACACCTCAGTGGGGTTGGTGGGCTGCTGCCTCCGTCCTGCCTCCGACAGTGACCCCTTCTCACGGTGGGCACGTGGCCGAGCCTGGACTTCATATCTAGAAATGGGGACGACGCCATCGACCCGAGAGGGACTCAGCGAGATAAGGGCTGAGGAAGTTTCGAGCACAAAAGTGTTCAATAAGCGGAGGCTTGCTTTCTTGTTGGAAAGGCTGGGCTAGAGACGGCAGCTCTGTCCCCCTCAGGCCCTGTCCCTCTGTGTTAAACTGAGGACGACCTCTGAGCGTGGGCGCGGCATCCACCCGCAGAGCAGAAAGCCGCAGCGCGGCGGCGGTCGTCCTCTCCAGCGGCTGCCCATCCGCGTGGCACAGGAAGTCTGCTCCTCAAACCTTCTGATTAGGAGGCAGAGGACTCGGCCAAGAATCTGAGAGCATGGCCAGCAACTCAGTGAAGGGATGCAGGACTGGTATCCATCAGTCAAAGAGGTCAGGACAACCAGGGGGCCACCGAGGACCTGGAGACAGAAGGTAGATCGTCTCCCAAGGGCAAAACAAAATCACTCCACGCTGACCAGTGTCATGCGCTGGCGCGGACCGGCACGTGCACACGCCCAAGGATGAGCTGGAGCACCAGCAGGTAAGGACACGTGCGGAAAACAGGAACACCTTGCAAGAGCTGAAGTGGCGATTTGAGGGCACTTTCACTTTCTACAGAATATTAACATTTTGTACAATCTCGCATTGCATGTGAGACTAAAAAAACAATGTCGTGTAGGGCTGTGTGCCGTGTTGAAGAGAGGTTACGTTCCAGAGCAGCCTGAACCCGGCTGTGCCAAGGCCGTGCGGGCAGTATTCCTGGACGGAGCCTGGTGATCACAGGCTGGGGAGGCAGGGAAGGGCAGGATGCTGGGGCTAGGGGCCACAGTGCACTCTGGTCCAGGGACATAGGACCGTCCCCCAGACCTGATCCACCACATCTGCAGCAGCTGTCCTATCCGATCAACAGTCATATTAGCAACATGGCACCTGCCTCCCCATGCTAACACCCTGCTCACCAGTGCCGCCTGTGGGGAGCGGATCCACGCTCAGGGCCTGCTCATTGCTGATCATGTCTCTGTCCACACGGGTGCAGTGGCCATGGCCAGGGGAGTTACCTTCCTCTTTATAAAGTAACAACCTGACATCCTTTTTAAAGCAAGTTTTTGAGTCAAACATTCTGAATATAGGGGCCCTTCTGAAGTACGGAGACAGTGATAACTCTCCCCCAGGATGCTCGCCTGAACCGGAGTTCTCAGCCTGCACTGATGACACCAGGGCTGCTGGCTGTCACGGGGCTGGCCAGGATGGTGAGCAGATCCCCGCGCTCCACTCAAGAGCCACTGCCTTGCGAGGCTAATGTGTTTACTCAGCACCCCTTACTTAAACAGGAGTACAAAAACAAACCTAAGGCCAGTCGTGGGGACCACGGCAGGCACCTCTGCCCTGAGCACTCTCCTAAATGACAGATACCCAGAGCCCACCGGATGGAACCACATGGATGGCCCACGAGTTCCTCAAACCCAACCTTCTAAATAAACCTACCTTTTCTACTCCTCCACCCCCTTCAGAAATCTCCCTTCTCTCCCGCATCCCCCTAACCTGGTGAAAGGTGCATCAGCGCACACTCAGTCGCCCGCAGCCCAGGGCCTCTCCGTCTCCTCCCCTGCCTCCATCACCGCATTGGCTCTGAGCCCCGCCTCTCCCTCCTATGAGTCTCCCAGGTGCCTGGGTCACTGCGCCACTGCCCACCTGGCAGCCCACTCAGATGCATGAGTGCCCAAGACTAATGCCATCACTCTGCCCGGACCTGTCCTGGCTTCTCCCACAGCCTTCAGAGCCAGGTTCAGAACCCTCAGCGTGGCTCCTGCTGGCGTCTCCACCTGTCCCCTCCTGGGCACCCCAGTGCCAGCCCAGCCTGCCACTCACCACGCAGGTCATACACCCCAGCCTGAGGACATGTCACGGCTGGCACATCTTTCCACCTCTATCCATTGATCCTGTCACCCTGAAACCCCTGCCTTCCTGGGAAAGCTGCCGTGAGCCCTGAATAGATTAAGGTACCCCTGCACTCTCCTGCCCTGCACACACTGTCCCCAGCACCAAGGACACTGTGGGGTCCCCCTGAGCTTTCCTGCCTGCCCCGCACACACTGTCCCCAGCACTGAGGACACTGAGGTCTCCCTCCTGACTCGGCTCCAGGATCATTTCACTCTAGTCCCAGCACCTATACACTGCCATGATAAAGTAAATATTTAAAAATTGTTGAAATAATAAAATAGCCCTGTAATAATATCAAAATTTTACTGGCAGCATTTATAACACCTCTCTACTAATAAAATTACTAAACTGAACCGATCTTTTTATTGGCGATTTTTCAAATGCCTGCGATGAAAGAGGGGTCCATGTGAGGCACAGTCGCCCCTCTAACGCACTGAAATAGTCTGTGTCCCAGGCAGGTCCACTCACTGCCAGCGGTCCCAAGGGGTCCTCGCTGCCACCCCATGCGTGGCGCCTGTCAGAAGGTTACAAGGCTACCCTGGTGCTGGGAATGAGCGTTGGGCTCCACCTCCCCCTTTTATGGGCAGGTGGTAAGATCACCCAAAAGGCAGAAGGGGACCAGGATCCCACGGGACCAGCCAGGAGCTACCCCTGGCCTGGAGTACCCGTCGCTTTGGCTGGGACTTCCTGAGTTCAGGAAGGGTCCCCAGAACACACAGAGCCCCAGCTGCCCCCTGTGAGCTGCTGGACAACACTGGGGAACGAAGAGACGCAGAAGATGCCTGAAGCCCACACGACGCCCTCCCTGTGCCTCTGCCAGGACTCTTCTCCTAAGGCCAAAAGGTCCCCAGGGGAGCTCCCTCTTACCTGCGCGTGAGAGAATGCATGCGTGTGTGTGTGTGTGTGTGTGTGTGTGTGTGTGTGTGTGTTTGGAACAGGGGCAGGAGGAAGGCACTGGACTGAGCAGACCCTCCCTGCCCTTGCTCCTGGCACAGCAGGCCCCTCTGGGTGGTCTTGCCCTGCTCCTGCCCATCTGTGTGTGTGTGTGTGTGTGTGTGTGTGTGTGTGTGTGTTTGGAACAGGGGCAGGGGGAAGGCACTGGACTGAGCAGACCCTCCCTGCCCTTGCTCCTGGC